AGCAAATCACGCATGTTTTTGACGTTTGAATATCTGGATAAATTTTGTGCAAGAGGGCTCGACTCCAATATGCCCCGACCCGCAGAAATAAAGAATAGTCTGTTAGGCGACTGAAGATCTCGTTACATATCATAACAACTAGCAACTCGATTGAAAACAAGTAGCACCAGGAAACAAACAAGCACGAGACGATATTTCACGTACCATTGCCCAATAACTATCCACGTGATTAAAAACTACGTAAGAACACTCATGCGAGCTTACATCGCGTCAAATTTCGTAAGTAGTCACGTGACTACAATCGTGCAGCATCGTGTAACAACTACTCGACCGACTAAAGATCACGTATCGCGACGCAACGTATAGTCACGTAACTTAAACTTGCTTGAAATTTAGTCGCGTTCTAAAGTTACGCAGCGTCACGCCATGGCTAGCTACGCGACATATTTCTTCCAGTGACACCTCCTTGATTTCATTCTATGCCAGTGCAAACGCGCGTTCTTACGGGAGTCGTCGGTCGTCGTCCGCGTTAGTTCATAGAGTGGTCGCGATGCGACGCCTCATTAGGGGCTGTGCTGCTTGGTTCGAACGTGAGCCCGAGCGTTTTGCCACGGAGATACAATAGAAGCGTGTCCTCCTCCAATAACACACACCTGTCAGATTTGTTCCTCCATGCTGCTTCTTTCTGGCTCAAACCAATGCCGCATATCTCACAGCGATAGTGATCCAGCAGCGTCGCAGTGACGCATCCCCACTGGTTGCCCACACGGCGCCGCGAACGGTGACCCGCTATCTTGGAACACCGTATCTCTTGCGAAGCCAGCGTGACCGCCGAGGTTGTGAACGCGAAGAATGCAAGGCGCCACCCCATGGATCTGTACACAACTAAAAAAAAAATGTTTATTACTTCTGTCGTGAGGCACTGAAAGGAGGCCCTCTCCCCCATGACCGCAAAGCACACGCGAAAGCTAGGCGATGGGCGAGAGCAGGAAAGGGTGGAGGAGAGGGCGGTGAACAGCTGGATTGGACACATCGGGCTGGCACTGATAAAATAGGGGAGGCGCTGCCTTCATAAACCATGCAACGGCTAGTCACGAGGTATCTTCTCGCCAAAAGGCAGGTGCGTAGCAAGGGTTTGTCCTTTGACGCAAAAATTTTGGTCTGTCTGTCTGTCTGTCTGTCTGTCTGTCTGTCTGTCTGTTTGTCTGTCTGTACATTTGTCTGTCTGTACGCCCTTAAGGGTACCCTAAACGTCAACAAAGTGGCCAAATGATACTCCAAACGGCCGACACCATCTGCAGCGCCAACCATTATTGCTCAAGATGCAGCTTTCATACTTGTGCGATTGTCTATTAAAAACAATTATTGCGGATATCTGAGGGACCGTAACAACACGTCAATATTCTGTATGTGCGTCTCTTACTAGAAAAGGCATACATAAGTAACTATAAGGACCGTAGCGTTTATTACGCTGCGCTGACCAGGCAACGCTTGCACGACAATGCAAGCGTTTCCAACGCTTTGCTAAGACGGCACAGTGGTGGCACCTACCTGTCTCCCTGCGTTCTACACCTTATCACCTCCGAGATGCGCGCTTCGTTTTCCGAGATAACTGCCAGATAGCGCTGATGTCTCACGTGTGACGCACTTTATGCGCCCGTTCGCATCCGATGCTCGCTCGAGGCACTCTGACTTGGCGCCTCCGGTGGATTCACCGATTTTGTTGCAGAGAACATCGAATAAACATTTCGACACTCTTTCCAGGTGCAAGACTATCATCTTTCGACCACATTGGTAGTAAAACATGCAGATACGGGGCCAATTTTTTTCAGGGAGGGAAGGGGGGCAGAAGCACTAACTATTTGAAATAAAGTATTTTCATGACATTAGACATAAACTTTCCCGGGAATGTGGAAGGTGATCAATAATTAGAAAAGAATGGGAACAATGTGGAATGCAGCACAAGAGGCGAGTTATTCAGCGTCAGAAATTAAATTATTACATTGCAGTAAATACAGTGCGTGTGCACTAGCACTTATGCACAAGAAAAAATAGCTGTCCTAACAAACGATGTCGAACAAGGAGGCCTCTAGCGGATAGTCAGAAGTAGAAGGATGCTGCTGAGTCACATGACAAAAACGAACAAGTTCACTTCGAAGTCCGTGCATGCGCTCGCGCCTCCGCCAAACTCATCATTGTCGCTGCCCCCGGCACATCAGCATGCGGCAGGACACATACATACAGACTAAGTAATAGCAAAACAAGTGACAAAAAAAAAAGGTGGGGGAATGCAAGAGATTCTATGGTCGCCGACTTACGCATGTGCGACAAACAAAAAAAAAAGAAAAATATTGCACGCTTTCTCTGGCGAAATTCGCACATTCTGTCGTAACAGGCCTGCGCAAAGAACGGGAGCCATTTCACGGGAAGAATTTTGAGAAAGAAAACACGTACTGAAAAGAATTTTATTTTGAATAACAAAGAGTTAAAACACGGACGCTTCTTTCCCACAAAAGAGGCAGAACATTAACATTCGTTTTAGCAAGCAATTCTTAAAAATTGCATTGCCAATGATTTTATTTCGTTATTATAATGAAGGTCAATGCAAACGATAAAAAAAAAGAACATCTAGCCTGGCTGAAAAGAGCTATTGAAGCGACCATTTTCATGCCTCGTAGTTTCTTCATAAACACTGCGATAACTTCGACGACGCCGGCTATAGTATGCAGTGAATGGAAATTATAGGCCAGACCATCAAGCCACTCCTCAGCTGTCTGGTTCCTCAAATAAGTTTTCACTGCTCTATAAGGCTCGAGAAGGTGCGTTTAGCACTAGCTATATTGACAGGGATCATTGCGAATTTCTTGAGGAGTATGTGTGAGTGTTCGCGAAGAATTTGTCGCATTCAGCTAAAGCGTCCGTCGCCAAGCATGGAAATTGGCCCTTTTACATAGCTTGTCATTTAGCTTTCCAGATTTTCCGTTCACTTTTTAGTGTAAGGATATGACCTGTTAGCATACCTTTCATGTAAAATTCAAAGAGCGGCTGCACAGGTTCAAATTTGCCTTTGGAGGTATGCTTTGGCAAAACAAATTGCAAACCATAGAGTATTTTACAGCGAAACGGATTCAGAGAATGGACTCGGCGCTGAATTCACAACTGAAATGTAATTGCAACAGAATATATATATATATATATATATATATATATATATATATATATATATGAGATCTAACAGACAGTAATGTCAAGGAATGTACTGGGGAAGTTATTAGAACCAATGGAATGTAAATAAGAAGAAAGAAGAAAGAAAAGTGAAAAGTGGATGAAAAATAACCAGCCGTGAGCAGGAAGCGAACCTACGACCTTCGAATAACGCGTTCGATGCTCTAACCACTGAGCTACCACAGCGGCCTTCCCTCCATTCACTTTTTTGGGTTTATACGTGAATTTAGAAGTAGGAGTGACAGTCAGCGCCATCTATAAGCCAAGCAACGAGTGTGAAAACACCCTTTTATGCGCATGTTTGGCGTCACGTAGCACGTTAACTTATTATGAGCGGGCAGGGGGTAATAGTCCCTCGTATACAACGTAATGACACCAAGCCTGCCAGTACGAGACAATGTACGAGGGTCTCGTACTGGCAGACTTGGTGTCATTAGGTTGTATACGAGGGACTATTAATCAGCTGCCCGCTCATAATAAGTTCATGTGCAACCTGACGCCAAACATGCGCATAAAAGGGTGTTTTCACACTCGTTGCTTGGCTTATAGATGGCGCTGACTGTCACTCCTACTTCTAAATTCACGTATAAACCCAAAAAAGTGAATGGAGGGAAGGCCGCTGTGGTAGCTCAGTGGTTAGAGCATCGAACGCGTTATTCGAAGGTCGTAGGTTCGATTACTGCTCACGGCTGGTTATTTTTCACCCACTTTTCTTTCTTCTTTCTTCTTATTTACATTCCATTGGTCCTAATATCTTCCCCTGTACATTCCTTGGCATTACTGTCTGTTAGATCTCCTTAATATTGTGTTAAAACACGGAAAAACGAGCCCTTAGGTATACACCTCTACGCCTTATTATATATATATATATATATATATATATATATATATATATATATATATATATATATATATATATATATATATATATATATATATATATATATATATATATAGTCTAGTAGATCCTCCGTGAGCGGTCACAACGTGATTTATTTCGACGTTTCGGCCTAGAGTCTGGCCTTCATCAGCATTCCTGATGAAGGCCAGACTCTAGGCCGAAACGTCGAAATAAACCACGTTGTGACCGCTCACGGAGGATCTACTAGACTATATGCAACGCTACGGCCACTCAACCACCATGCCAATATATATATATATATATATATATATATATATATATATATATATATATATATATATATATATATATATATATATATATATATATATATATATATATATATATATATATATATATATATATAGGAAACATTGACTCATAAAAAGTGTGCGCATGTGCACCATTGTTACGGCACAACATGATTCATGTATTGTCTAACAGATAGTTATATTCTTGATCTAGAAAAATAGCCATCGAAAAACCCTGCAAACTTTGCGGGGTATTGCGGTATTATACAAAGCACCTTTTGAGGGAAGCTTTCAGTTCATCTATGTACTGAATAAAAAGTGGTCGCCTGCAAGACTCTTCCGTGGAATTACAATCGATGTTTTGCCGGTGTCTCTGTATTTCTGCCAACCGTAGAATCTCGCACTCGGGAAATCAATGGAGATCCACTGCCTAATAAACATGGCTGCAGCTACGATCCCCAAAACATCGACTTTTGCAGTCGGCAACGAATAGTTGCTAAGATTATGCACGTGAAATTATTTGTAGTTTCCTGAACTACTTAACTAGTTCAGTGTTGACTGACCAGCAAAATGTGCGATGCAGGGAAAGATCATAGTACTCTCTCATTTTGTTGCAGCCCTGTCTCAAGTAGACTTAAAGGACCCCGTGGCCTTAAAGGACCCCGTGGCAGGGAAGTCTCAAGTGAACCTAAGGGACCCCGTGGCCTGTTTGGAAATCTTTATTGTGACAAACGGGTACGCAGCAGTTTTGCAGTCGTTCCCGCATTTTTATTTTGTGCATAGTTACCGGCAGTTCTTCAAATCTCCCATGGTTTCTTTTTTTTTAGTTTCAAGCATAGTACAAGACCACTGTTTTCTCTCGGAGATAGCTACACATTTCCACTAACATAGTGTTTAGCTCTGTAACGTGCGAGATATGCCAGTAATGAGCCGAGAGATCGAGTGTAGTGGCCGCCTGGCAGCTACTGGCTAAACGAAGGTAGTGTGCGTAGCTCCTTGCGTTGTCTACTAGTCGCGACGTCTTGATATATGCACGCGCACGTCATACACTTCCTCTATAGGTGTTTTCTACCGCTAAGTTAGCCCCACTTAAGCACTTATACGTAGGCATATCGCGTATGCTTCAATTTTATTTGATTTAGTTACAGTTTATAGCCAAACCAAGTTGGCCTAATCAGTAAGTGCATGTCATAAACATGCGCGGAGCATAAATAAAACAAGTTTTCTTTTTCCTAATATAAAGAAACCACAGGTGGCAAATACCTCATAAGATTTCTATAGAGACGTAAACCAATATCATGAACTCAGCAATAAGCACAGAGACCACACGTTTTAGCTTAGTTTGATAGCCATCCTTGCGGAGTGCTTGGTGGTCATCTTTTTTGACCAAGTATTGCCCACAAGAAGGTTTGTGGGCACACCTACAGCAGAAGCTTATTGCAAACCGGCTTACGGCACCACTCGCCCGCCTGTGATGATGTCTTACTCCACTGTCAGCTTTACGCACTACCTTTATTGCTGTGGTAACTCACATAATTTTGACTATAAGCATAGAAATACTTTCATCCAGTTGTTCACATATTCCACATGAAACAAATTAAATGCTATTTCCGTTGTTGATGTTGTGCGCGAATGCGCCTCTTGTTTCTGGCGACAGCTACATACCATTTGTAAGTCATAACGGTCACAGAAATATAGCGTGCCAATATCAACCAAGGGCATCCACTAGGTAAGGTCTTGTCTTGCATACTGAAAAGAACATCGTAGCTAGTGATGAAAAGAGATAAAAAGGTTTTTTTTTTCAAATAACTACACTAATTTTTCCCTTCATCGTGTTATTATACTGAATGAAATAACCTAGATGCAGCTAAAGCTTACACATATCTGAGTCTCAATTTGTTAATTTTTTTAGAATTAACTAAACAGCTGAAAAAAAATGCTATCATTTACGCATAAATGCCAGAATTTTGATTTCATGAACTATAGGTATTATGTACGCAGTGGTTTCTTTTACTTTTCTAACATTAGAATATGTGTGCTTATGTAGAAAATCAGTTTTAAAATATTTCACACTCGTCTAAATAAAAAAAAGCCATACTATAATCAATGTGCTCATTTCACCTGTTAGTTCTACTAGCAGAGAGACAAACTCTACCACTTGCTTGCATATGTTTTCTGTCTCTTTTTGCCCATAGTTGGAATGAACATGCTAATGTGACTGTTATAGGTTTATATTTTTGTAACTGCTGGAAAGGTATACAGGAAACACTCATTTTTGTGTATTTATATGCCCATATGCTAAGCTTTTTATATGAGACTTTGCGTCTTGTAACAAAATAGATCTTCACTCTGGTAGTGACTGATGTGTGTTTATAAATAAATTGATACTGGAACGTTATTAACTACGGAAATATTTCCACCATTCTAGCCTTGCAACGGAGAAGGAGACAATGGCCCATGCGACTATCCTACATGCGAGTGTGTGCGAAGAGGTGATGGCTTCTACTGCAGCTCTGTAATTTATTACTAATATCCTTATTAAAATCTAACGCCAGACATTTCTGCCTGGTAAAATAATAAAAACAAGTGTAAAGAGGAATGCACTCCATTCATGACAAGAATAGCTGAACACGTTACATACTACGATCAATTCTTTTTTTTTTCTTTAACGCATAGCCATAATGCCACAAGATCATGTCACACACTTCAGATGCATTATAAATGCACCTCTGATATCTCCAATTTTCTTCACACTGATCTTAGTTGCCTCCAAGGATTGACAAAAGGAAGTAATGTACTTTGACCCTGGCCTTCTGCAACGGCTCTTTGCAATGCATCAATCCCATTAAGCGAAATGCCCATTGGTGAAATGAAATTTTTTCCAGCGAACTAACACACCGCAAGGTGGTGACCTTCACGAAAACTTCCGACAAAAGTAAACACGGCTTGAGAAGAAGGTGAAGGAAACAGAGAGGGACTTGTGGAAATTTGAATGCTTGCTAAATTATCACAGGAGACCTACCGAACTTTCAAGCAGAAACTTGCAAAAAGAAAAGATCTACGATAATTCTCGGGGTAGTTTTCTGCTGTTCAAGGACACAGCGGGATTATTGCAGACCAAGACGTACCGAGCCAAATACGAAGGCACAGACACGTTATGTAGTGCGTGGAGAGGAGGAGGACATACCTGAATATTTGATAATGTCCTCTAAAGGGTTCCACCCTATAGTCGAAGATAATGCCACCAAATTTTCCAAAGCATTGGGGTTTAGGTACAGTGAAGGCAAAATACACTTAAAACGGGTAGAAATAACCAGGAGAAGGCCAACTCATTGGTGGCTACAGTCGTAGCGCGAGTGAAATTCAATCCTTAAACACACAGTGAAACTACTTAACTTTATGGCTAGGTGGCGTGAGCCACCGCCCGATCTAAACGGCACAGCCGGATACACCAATCCATCCATCCATTCATCCATCCATCTATCCGTACCAATCACAGCATTCATCCAGATAAATTTCAAATACCCAATTCCGTTAAAAGTGGACACACCGACGAACGCACAGACAGACGAACGTACAGACAGACAGACAGACAGACAGACAGACAGACAGACAGACAGACAGACAGACAGACATATAGATAGATAGATAGATAGATAGATAGATAGATAGATAGATAGATAGATAGATAGATAGATAGATAGATAGATAGATAGATAGATAGATAGATAGATAGATAGACAGACAGACAGACAGACAGACAGACCAAAATTTTTGCGTCGAAGGTCCCCAAGAAAGACTATCGTCTTCAAAAAAAAAAAAAAAACTTAGGAGGATGCTTGATGTTAGCTACTGTGGTTGCTTGGGCGAGTTGGTACGAGATGATTCACATAAAAAACAGCGCCAATAACGAGAGACTAGAAAAAGAAGGAGACAGACAGCGGCACTGAACTTACAACAAGATTTATTTGCCAGAACCGCACAATATATACTTGGTCAGTATCTAACAAAAAAAGAAAATACAAAACAAACAAAACAGAATCCACCTAACAACCACATAGTCATGTTAGCCTTCCAGCGTAAGTGCCCATTGTGTAATCAAGCCTCGTACGCATCGCCTTCTGGATCGATAACCTGCACTCGATCTCGGTGCATGCCTCAGCCGTGCCGCATGACTCTGAGTGTCACATTGGCCGTTTAAAATTGTCATTGAAGATTTATTGCAAGCACACTTTTCTAGAGCCCACTACGCTGTAAGTATTTTTTTCGCGAATCAGCGAAGGGTCCACTTTGTGTCCGTAGGGCAACAGGGAGACCTACGCAGCTGTTGACCTAGTTGATTGTTCTGCTGCTGCTGCTGATGATGAATTATGCCTGAGTGCTTTGTAAGGGGTGAGCTTTTAAAGGGACAATAAAGGCAGGCATTAGGTTGGTGCAGATTGCAGAAATAGTGGTCCGCAAACCTGGTAGCACTACTTTTGTGCAAAAAGATGCTTATTTTGAAATGATATCACGTTTTAGTGGTCTGCATCGTGTGAGCTTACTTCAAGTATCCGGCGTCAATGTGGCCGTCTCACGTCAACTGTTGCCCTGCACAGCGTTGCCCGGCTTTACTGCGCGGCCGCCTACCCGCCGACAATAGTCGCAGCAGAGTGAAAGAAGTGGAAGCCACAGCAGCTACAACGGCCATTGAACAATTTTTAGCCCTGGCCTCCAAGACGGTAATCGTGCTTGGTTCGAGTGGGCTACACTAGATGGCATGACCTGTCCTGTGTAACCAGGCGAAAGTTTAAATTTGGACAATTCGCCCAATTCCTCATAGTATGGCCAGCGCTTTTTTTTCTTCGAATTAAACAGAAACAACCAGCATTTTATTACGTCTCTTGACGCCCGTAAGGATCTTCATTTAGTGCAGCTGGCTAGATTACAATTGAATAAATGTGAGCGTTAAGTTTGACGTTGTCGGGATCATTTAGCGAATTTACTACTAATGGCACAATTCTTCTCTTGCAATACTATCATTTCTCGCTAACTGCTCTTGATTTTATTGTTTTGGACGTTGTTATACATTGAAATTTTACTATGACATAAAGTGTTATTGGACTTTATTGACCCTTTAAAACACGCACTCTTTTTTCAAAGCACATTTTTTTTATGCCAGGCGCGTTCTGACGCTTCTGCCCCGCATTATGATGATGCGTGAAGCCGACTCCTTCCACTACACGGCATTTATACATTCCGTTTTTTTTTTTTACAAAAGCTCCAATAAATATCATGGCTTTGTTGTAGAACATCTGCTTTCCACGCACCTAGGTTTACCCCTTAAAGGAACCTGGAAGTTTTTTTCATTTATTCCGTCTACATCCTACTCTAATGTTTTCGTGTACAAGACAATGATTTACCGACCACAACCAACACTGCCCATGCCAACAACGACCCTGAAAACAACGCCAACACGAAGGCCGACACCGATGCCGACACCAATGACGACGCCGGAATATCTGTAAAACGAGTTTTTTAATATAGCGTTATGAGCTGCAGCGTTGTGGTATTTGCACAAGTCCTGTAGCACATACACGCTGGAAAAATTTGTGTTGAAATAGCTCAACGACGCGTGCCTCCTTATCTGTCGGTGACCGAAAAAAAAAAAAAAGACGCGACTGCGACTATGACGGTGACACGGCGTTACCCACTTATGCTGGCCCTGAGAAAAACCACAGGTTGGCTAGACAGCACGCTTTGCGTTTCCCTGTATATAGTTTGCCCGAAACATTCAAAAACTCTTTAAAATGCCGCAAACTGGCAACCTTAGTTGAACTTCTGCGAGCAGTCGGCGACGCTGTCTGGGTAGCAAATCAGTTTTTATCATAAAGCTTTCAAGGTTAACTGCTACAGCTGCCACACGATAAAACTCCCGAAATGTTCCAATGTCTCATCAATGGTGAGGTGGTGTAAGATGCAGGCTATGTTGTTGAGTGCGTTGTGAAGGCTGTCAACGAATACGGCGTCGCCGTAGCAGCTTTGGTCGTGCTATCAAGTAAACATTGCGAGCTAAGAGACGTTCTATACGGAGATAAGTTCTATACGAAGAGTTTAGCAGACAGTAGCCGCAAGGCAGAACCCGGAAACCGGCCACTGAAAGGTTAACCACAATGCTTCTTGCGTAATAAGACGGGGCAGCATACATCTGAGTGCTGGTCGTGAACGAAATCATCTTTCCCCGCGCATGGTCATAACGATGGCAAGTGTTCTGCCGATACAGAAGAGAAATGCAAAACATCTTGCACATTATCCGGAACAAGAAATAATACGAAATCGGTAAAAAAAGTAGAGTACGTTACTCTGGAAGAGGGAGAGTGGATACCCGTTGTCAACACCGCAGTCAGCCAAAGTTCTTCATTGGGAAACATCGAGAACATGCCCATTGTGAGAGGGTTCATGAATAAACTTCTTGTTAGCGTACTACACGATACTGGCTGCGATACGGTCATTGTGCGAGAGGCATCAGTGTACAAAGAAAGGTTGAATGAAAAGTATCGGCAGGTACTCTTCCTCGACCACACGATGCGATACCTACCAGAAGCGGTGATCTTCTTAGACACGCCCATTTTTAAAGGAGACGTTCCTGCTCACCGCCTCCGAGATTCACTTTATGATGTGGTCCTGGGCAATATCAAAGGAGTCATATCACTGGATGCCACAGCAGTGATGAAAAATCAGTCCATCAAACCCATTGGCACTACGGCCATCGTAGAATCGATGCCAACGACGTTTACTACTCATCGTGGTAAGCAACACCGGGTTGGTGTTAATCGCGTCGTCAACCGACCCAAACCACGTGACAGCAGTTCATCTGCAACGAGCGACGATACCCAGAAGGCATGCGCGGCGAAGGCGAAAGGAACGGGACATTTTTCTGGACCTGCAAGAGAAGTGACAGCGCCATGGCCAAATTTACGACGAGATGTGCCAGCTTCCAGTGGTGCGCATATCTTTCAAGATGAGACATGGTTGCCTTCGGACACGGCAACCAGGATACCATCGCGTCGACGAGCAAGGCAAAATTATTACTTCGAAAGACGCAATACCGGCGGCTTAATTGAATAACGTGCGGGGCTGCTTAAGCTGCACTGCGATGGCATGGACAGCGTGGGGGTACCGATGCATCAGGTTCCATCGTCGCCTTAGCTGTCGTTTTCGCCTACCCGTTCCCACAGTCACTTGCAACGTCACAGGACACTGACGTACAAGCGATCTGCCCAAGGAAGCCCTAACTGACGACGACTACCTCGAACATGGTGTGGTGTTGTCACTCCGCAAAACACCGAGTGAAAACGAGGCATCTGTGTTTATAGTACGTTGGTTGTGCTGTGTATGGTCTTGTGTTTAATCCCCAAAACCGACAGTGGGTGAACGCCTCGTTGTGACGTACACGTGGCATGCACGTGTGTGAGACAGTGTGTGCCACCGCCGACCAAAACGTGTGATGACTGATGAGTGGGTTGAATTTTTGAGCCAAAGTGCGTAGTGAATGTGGGCTACAGTTTTCGAGTGACAG